AAATGCAGGTCGCAACATCGGCTGTATTCGGCCGCCGGCTCTGCGGAGGCTGCGAATGCGTTTGGCGCGCTGGGCAGTCTCGTTTAGACGATCCTTCCTGACGCTCTGGACAGCGGCCCGGGGTGGCCACACAATGTGACCAATACCAAGATTCCTCGCCGAACGTGGCTAGGAGGAGGGACGAGGATGAGGACGAGGGGGACGAGGAGGGGGGATGCAGAGGAGGACGAGAAGGACGAGGAGGCGGACGAGGATGGGGATGGGAGGGGGGGGAGCAGCAGGAGGAAATGGGAAAGGAGGGCGCGAGGGCCCCAAGGGCGGGACGCCTACATGAATGTCGGTGCCAGATCGTAAGGCACGCGGCCTGGGAGGTCGAGCGCGCGCGCCGGGGTGCATTCACCGCGGTGGTGGCAGCAGCGACGGCGACCACGATGCCATCGACGACGACGAGAGGGCCACGGCGACCAAGACGGCGTGACGACATCACGACCCACGACCGCGACGACCGCGACCACGATGATCACGGCAGCGAAGACAAGAAGATAGGGAGGACTTGGACGGGAGGTGGAAGCCAGATAAGAGGGAGACCAGGAGGCGGCGACGGCGGCAGCGACGCAGGCAGCAGCGACGAAGGTCCGAGGATGGGGGGGATGGGGAGGAAGACCGGGGCGAAGATGGGATTGAGAGAGAAGGAGAAGGAGGAGGTGGAGGACTGACGAGGAGGATGGTTGATGAGATTGGACGGCGAGGATGAGGAGTGCGGGAACAAATAGAAACAACTCTCTGGTCTTCCAAAAGGACCAGGAAGTTCTTTATATGTGTTCCTGTTCTCCTCTCTTCCCATCCTTTTCCCTCCATATTCCTCCTTCCCCTCCTCCTCCTCCTCCTTCTCCTCCTCCTCCAGGCACATGCCGAAGTCTCAGGCATATTGCTCATGTTCGGCACACTGTGATTCCTCGGCTTGAGCACATGGGCGCCGCGCCCCCAAGCGTGGCGCCCACGTTACCCGGCTACGTTATACACATCGCTAGACTGCTACAATTTGCCCAACATCTCCACGGGGTTGCCGACTGACTTCGATGACTACCACTACCGATACGGCAGTGCAGCGCTGGCGCACACCTTCCGAATATTGCCACTTCCGCCGCTACAGCGCGTCCCTGGCGCAGGCTGCTGCGTCGAAGCTCAGCCTTACGGCAGAATGCTACGAGGTGCCGACCACTTTCACGGGGCTGACGTTTGTCTACGAGGACTGTCCGTCCTGCTACTGCAGCGCGTCCTTGGCGCAGGCGACGGCTTGCAACCTCAGCCACACGACGGAATCGCACGAGATGCTGGGCATCTCCACGGGATTGCCGTTCGCCTGCGAGGGCAACCTCTTCCGCTACTGCAGCACGTCCATGGCGCAAGCAGCCGCGTCCCAGCTCAACTATTCGGCGGGGTGGTGCGAAGCGCCAAGCATCTTCACGGGGCTGTGGGTCGCCCACGAGAACCACCCCTTCTACCATGGAAAAGCGTCCCTGGCGCAGGCGGCGACCTCGCAGCTCAGCCACACGGCGGAATTCTACGATAGGCAAAGCATCTTCACAAAGCTGACGTTCGCCTCCGCGGACAAGCCGCTCCCCTACTGCACCGCGTCTGTTCGCAGGCGACCGCGCCCCAGCTCAGCTACTCGGCGGGGTGCTACGAAACGCCAGGCATCTTCTCGGGCTGCGAAGCATCTACGAAGACCACCCTTTTTCCGCTACGGCAGCGCGTCCCTAGCGAGGGAAGAGGCTTCCAGGCCCAGCCATATCGCGGAATGAAATGTGGTGCTTGGCATCTTCATGGGGCTGCCGTTCGTCCAGCAGTTCGTGACCTACGGCGCGATCTGCTCCACTAGCGCGCCCGTTGGGCAGCAAACTAAACTCTCGGGTTCCCCGCCTCTGGTGGTTACATTCAAATCGGTAGCTCCCCGCCACGGTATACGGCCTGTCTATGAGCTGGCTTGTTCCCTCTCAGGGAATCAGTTTCTGCCTCGGCGCAGCGTCTCGCATTTTGTTCGTGAAGGTCATCGATCTCGGATCTGTCTCCCATCATCGCTCAATGCTGTTTCCTCTTTGCGTCACTTGCCTGGTGGCCTCGGCCAGCGTCAGTGTCAATATCTCGGTGTTTGGACCTGTCTTTGTGCAACAGTGGTGGGCGGCATTGACCGAGACGCTTTCTTGTTTTGCGCTGATGATATTGCAATCGTCAAGCAAGTCGCTTACGCGCACGCTTCCGACAGGACGACGATGAATCCCCAGTCCTATCCGACCCGGTCCGATCCGATCCACTTCCTCCTCCTCCGTCAGTTGGTCGCGGGTGCGGCGCCATCACCTGCACTCAAAGGGCTATCCGACACGAGCTCAATGGGCCCACCGCAAATCGGACTGTACACTTTGTACGTCGCATTGCGGAAGAAGAGATCCGCGCGCGCGTTCAGGCGGTCCGCACAACGGAATGCACAACTTCACCGGCGGCAGAAGGGGAAGACAGGCGAAAACGGCCGCGAAGGAGAAGGAAAGGAACGGAAGGCACTCACATGGCGATGTGCGTCGCCGTGGAGCAGCGGGGGCGGCCAGCCAGTGCTGCACCTCTGGCAGCGGGCGCGGGACGGCGCAACGGCCACACCCACGGGCTGAAGCAGGGGTTGCAGCGCACGAAGTGGAAAAAATACAGCACCGAGATGGAGAACGAATGGCCACGTCGACGATGTCCCGGTCCAGCGGAGGGCCAAGAGGTGCCTGGAGCCCAGGCGGTGAAATGCAACGGGGATGGCCAAGGGTCGGCTGGAGGGGGCGGCCAGTGCTGCCTGCTGGAGCTTGCATTAGCGGGTGCGGAGGGGGCTGATCCCACTGGTAGCCGGCCAGTGAGGAAGCGGTGCAGCAGGTGGCGGGGGCACAGTGGCGCTTCCACCCAGCAGCGCCTTCGGACTTCAGCGACGTCAGTCCAAGGTTGATTGCGCTGGGAGGTAGTGAAGACGATGAGCATGGGGAGACGAAGGTATCGTCTAGGGAGGCTGTCAACCTACATGGAGGAGCTCCAGGCCAGTCCCGCCTCCCCCCCCCGTGCCGCAGCTGTGACGCTGGTCACGATGGGGATGACAAATAACAGATAGATAGGTAGCTAGCTAGGCAGCTAAGCGGCTGTCTAGCCAGATTGGTGGATAAGCAGACAGGTTCACAAGAGTAGAAGAAGAAAAGAGGAGGTGGATACTTCGCTGCACCGACGAGATCTGAAATATGGAATTCGAGAAATTGCGCGACACGGTACTGGCACGTCCTACGAAAACAGAGCAAGAGAGAAAAAACAGGCATCAGGAGTTTCATGGAAGGTCGTTCCCACAAGATGGACATCAACACACAAGGAACGAGGAGAGAGCAGAAAGAGGAGGGAGAAGGAACAGGGAGGGCAAGGATAGAATCGTAGGAGGGGGAGCACGGGGGAGGAGGCGAACCAGGAAGTCGGCAATCTGTGGGGCGAGACCAGAAGTTTCGGGAGCGAGCTGGGAAAGTCAGAAAGCGAATAAGGAACAAATGTGGTCAATTGTGTGTCTTGTCGTTGCGTTCCACGGCTTTCGTATGTCCTGGCTCGTCTTCGGGAAATGCCGATTCGTTTTCATGGGTCCCTGGACTGCTCCTCCGGTGCTCTGGTTCCCCCCAGCAGAACGCAGGAGGAGGAGGATGTGGAGAGGGAGGACGAGGAGGGAGGAAGGAGAAGGGAGAAGCGAGGCCGGAGGAGGAGGTAGGAGGAGGAGAGAGAAAGGAGGAGCAAGGAGGAGGTAGGAGGAGGTAGGAGGAGGTAGGAGGAAGGAGGAGGTAGGAGGAGGAAGGAGGAGAGAGAAAGGAGGAGGAGGTAGGAGGAGGTAGGAGGAGCAAGGAGTGGCTTGGGAGAGAGAAAGCCAGCCTCTGCTCCCGTGCGCGCCTCCGTGCGAGCACGCCGGCGCCTCCACCGAGGGCACAGGCCCCACTGCTCGGGGGCCATCCCCAGAGACCTCCCAAAAGGGGGTCGGGATAGATTGGGTCGGAGGATCGCGCCGCATCGCCGATGCATCGGCGATGCATCGGTGATGCATCGGCGATGCATCGGCGATGCACCCGCGATGCATCGTCGAGGTGGGCGATGCATCGGCAATGTCGACGTAAGGCAAAGCGGGCTCCGCATCGCCGACGCATCGCCGATGCATCGGCGACGCGGCGCGATGCTCCGACCCCCTCTGCACGTCGTTCATCTCTGGTCTTGCTCGTTTCTCTAATTGTGCTCGATTCTAGTTATTCCTGGCCCCCCAGTGGCCAGGAAGAGGCCCAGGATGGAACAACTAGAAATGAAAGGATCTTGGCCCCCCAGAAAGTCAAAAAACGTTCGAATAATTAGAGACGAACAATTTGTACCCCGACCCCATCCAGGAGGCCGGCCTGGATACCCCCCTCCCCACACGGACCATGCCATCGAAAGCCCACGGCCTGGTCCCGTTCTCGGTGGCCATGTGCGGCCGACCTGCCGAGGAGCCGCCGCGGCCCAGCACCTCGACGGAAGCAGCGTTTCCGCCTGCATCGGTCCACCCACCGCGATCGATGTACTGCGACCGGGGATCCAGGAGACCTGCACATACACGCACTTACACACACGCACGCACGCACATACACACACATACACAGAAACACACACACAAACCGCAAGAAAGCGAGGCAGAGAGAAAGAGAGAGAGAGAGAAGGATAAGAAGAGGGAGAGAGAGAGAGAGAGAGAGACAATAAAGGAAGAGAGAGAGGAAGAGAGACAGAAACAGAGAGACAGCGAGACAGCAAAACAGAGAGACATAAAGGCCAGGGCGTCGGGGATAGACAGAATCCCCTTCAGTAAAACATGGTTTAGTAAAAACGACCTCGGGCCCAAACCTGCCGGGCGCAGCATGGAAAATGACGGCCGCGGGGCCCTCTCGAGAACCGAAAACGGACAATTCACTAATCGAAGTGTCAGGGCGAGGGTTCTGTCCAGCCCCGACGCTCGCTGTATGATCAAGATGAGATTCGCCTCATACGTCCGGCCCGCTTTCCAGCAATATCTCAAGCAGTCGGTGGGCTGGCCTTCCGCTTACGGCGCAGGGCACCTGAGGGTGGGGAGCCCGAGAAACTGCGCCGAGCCGGCGACCTGGGAGGGTGCTGCAGAAACGATGGGCTGGAAAGAGGTCCCGGTCGCCGAACTTCGAGCTCCGCGCCCCGCAAAAGACGAGGTGTGGTTCTCTCAGGGCCCTCGCGTCGCCCCCGCGGAGAAAGACAACATGTTGGCCCCACATCACCAAGCGCGCCCGTGCGTTACCCAGGATGCAGGGAGGTCCTCGATCCAAAATGGTGCCAGAGGAGAAGGGAGACGAGGATGGGGGAGGGAGCTGCGAAGGACGACGAGGGGATGTGGGACAGGAGGAGAGTGACGAGGGAGGAGGATGATACCAACAACGATGATGAAGAAAATGACGTTGGCGACCACGACTCGCTCTCCTTGGCCAAATTCCTGTCGCGGATCATATATCCATTGTCCCCGGGCCTGGAAAAACTGACCATTGTGACCCTTTCCCGGCGCCCAGGGAGGTCTGAGCGACGGCGAGGGTGGCCGAGGTGGTGGCATACACCCTTTTGCTGGGGACCGCACCCGATGCCTCCGCATCGGCCGCTGACAGCGCCAGCCGGCCAGCGCGCTTAGGACCCCGCGCCCTGAGGGGTTGGAGAAGGGGGGAAGAGAGAAGGGCGGCAAGCTAGGTGCGCTCGCGACATGTCTGACATCCTGACCCCCTTCCGCACATCCCTTCCCAATGCGCTGACATTGTGGTTGTTGTTCCATCAAACCAGTGGCGATATAAATGGTTCACAATTGATGACCAATCATGCTGTCTACCCATTGCGCTGACGTTGCATGTCCGCCGACGGGTGTCACAGCAGAACTGGAGCCCCCTAAAATGAATCCCTCGTGCAAGCAAGAAGGAGGTGTACAGAGGAGGGGAAGGAAGGTCGGTCGGACTCAGCCTGAAGACGCAGGGGCCCATGCCGACGGACATCGGAGGCGGAGACGCCCCCTGCCCCTCCGCGCCGGTCTCCGCGAGCGGCCACCATAGGGTAAGGGAGGGAAGGGGAGGGACAAGGAGATAGGAAGGAGGGGGAGAGAGGAGGGACGGGCGATCAAAGGGCGAGATAGGAGAGAGGAGAGGGCGAGAAGGACGTGAGGGGGAGAGAGGGGGAGAGAGGAGGGACAAGGAGATAGGAAGGAGGGGGAGAGAGGAGGGACAAGGAGATAGGAAGGAGGGGGAGAGAGGAGGGCGAGAAGGGACGGGGGGCGGGCGATCAAAGGGCGAGCCACAGGACAAGTCACGGCCCGACATCACATCTCGCTGACCGGAGCAGGCGCAGACCAGGGACGCACCTTGCGACGTTTCTGTCTCTGGGCGCTTGGAGCACTATCAGGCCACGTGGCCTTCCCATTCTTGTGTGGGACCTCCCAACCCCGAACCTTATCGAGGATCTCTTTTGTCGCTGGGCTGGGGTGCCCTGGGGAGAAAGAGGAGAAGGAGAAAGCAGAAGGTCAGCAAGGAGAGGGAAATGACGACCAAGACGAGGCCGAGCAGATACGAGGAGGAGACGGAGGATATTGAGGAGGCCAAAGGTGGGAGAACGAGTGGGACGAAAAAAGACAGAAGGCGACGACAACGACGACGACGACGACGACGACGACGACGACGACGACGACGACTACGACTCGAAGACGACCAGCATCGGCTACAACGACGACGACGACGACGACGACGACTTCAACGACCACAGCGAAAGGTGAACGACGGCGATGACCATCGACGACTTCCCCAGCCAGGGCGAGAAGGACAACGACGACGACGGAAGGAGAAGGAGTGGGAGGAGGAGCAGCCCCATGATATCGGCGACGATGACGCAAATAACCCACCACCACTACCACGACGGCGTCGACGGCGACAGGGACAAAAAACAACGACGACGACGATAGCGAAACCGACTGCGACGACGACGCCGACGATACCGACGACCGATCAAAGGCGAGGACGACAACGAAGACCACCACAGCGCCCACGACGTCGCCGACATGCAGAAGGCCCGCTCAGGCGACGAGCGCGCCCGCATGCAGCGCGGCAGGCTGCCCGGCGCCGCTGCCCGGCGCCGGCGCCGGCATCTCCGCTCTCGAGGGCTGCCTCCTGTGCCGGCAGCTGCTGCTTACCAACGCTGGTGCTGCTGCTGCTGCCCTGCTTCTGCTGCTGTGGCGCCCACGAAACCGATCGAGCCGCCGCGTCACGCCACCGGAGAGAGAGGGCTAGGGGGAAGAGTGCGCCCCGACTCGGCGAGGTACTCGCCCCTCCTCCTGCTGATGCTCCCCCTACCTGCTGCTGCCTACCAGCCCCTTTTTTCGCGCCATGCTCCGAGCAGCCTCTTGATGCTGCCCACCAGCCGAGGAGCGGGCCCCGAAGCGCACCACCGCCCCTGTGCAGGCCACCGTGGCCGCGGACAGCCGACGCCCGTCACAAGAGGTACGGCCGCTCCTCCTCCTCCTCCTCCTCCTCCACCTCCTCCTCCTCTTCCTTGTCCTCGTCTTCCTGCGCAAGAAAATACGGGCCAGTGAGTCACCGACGAGCAACTCGATCCTCCTCCTGATCCTCGCCCTCGTCCTCCTGGTCCCTCCTCCTCCTCCTCCTCCTTCTCTTCGTCCTCTTTCTCCTCATCCTCTTCGTCCTCTTCCTCCTCCTCCCCCTCCTTCCCCTCCTCCTCCTCCTCCTCCTCCTGCTCCTCCTACTTCCTCCTGCTCCTCCTCTCTTCCTCGACATGTTCCTCCTCCTCCTCCTCACCCTCCTCCTTCTTTTCCTCCTCCCCTTTTTCATCCTACTCCCCGCTCCTGCCTCGGCTCACACATGTATTGCTCATCCAACTTCTGGCGTCAGGGGCCTTTGCGGGCATACGACATTTCAACTCGGCGCCTCCGGCAATGCAGAGAATGCGAAAGGTGAGGTGGCAACATGTAGCCTTGATTGGCTTCGCGCGCTGCGGGAAGCTGGTTTTCGTAAGGACAAAGGGCTCAACACACAGTCACTGCACTGGTCGTCCAGCGTATACCCCACACAACATGCATTCGCACACGTTCCTTTTTCCTCCAGCAAGGTGACGGCACCATGGTGAGTGCAAGAACGGGCCAACCTTGAGAATGGCACAGTCCATCAGGCCTTGAATTATGAACGAAACCACGGAAACGCCACAGTTGTCCGGCTCCAACCGAAATCCGCTGAGTTCCCCCCGTCCCCCTCCTGCACATGCTCCTCATCATCCTCAAGCTCTTGTTTTTATCGACTAACTACGCCCTGTCACACCCCCAGACGTTGCCGTAGGGCGGGCCGAGCGTTACGCCAGAGACCGCCTCAGAACCTATGGAGCTGAAGCTGAAGCTGAAAACTTGCATCTGTTACACGGATGGAACGAGGTAGTTTTCAAAACGCGGTTATCGCTATAGCGCCGCGCAGATCCTGTTTAAACGCGAGGAGACGGATCGTTTTCAAAATCCGGCTCTCGTCATAACACCACACCCATCCAATCTCAAAACTTGCAGCAAGAGCAGGGGTGAAAAACGGCCCGCTTTCAAACAACATCATGTTCGGTTCAAGCGCCCTCAAAGTGAAGGGTCACAAATTTGAAAACATAGAATTGTTGCACAGGGCGAAGACGGCTCCATTTCAGAATAGAGCTCTCGCTTCACATAGCATGGTGCGCA